GGTTGACTAGAACCCGCACTCCTATCTACTGGATACATCGTTAGGGATTACATTGCAGCTAAGTCTTTCGACCAAAAGCGGGCAAACCATCGAAAGTGCCTTGAATCTTGCCTGCACCCAATCATCCGCCTCATGAACCACCTTCAGGTATAGCTCCTGCGCCCCGGATGTCGTCTACGAGAACGTCATGTTGTTCCTCTTCTTCTAGAGGATCCAAGAGGTGAGCAGCACTAAGGCCGGTCGCAGCGCAACCTCCAGCCGTAGCCGCTGACGAAGCCACCATGACGCTAGTTCCTCCGTGGTCGCCGAAACAAGCGCTGTCAATCCAACGGGTGCCAACAGGGAGAACCAGAGTTGTCTGGCAAGGACGCACCCAACAAACAGATGATCACTAGTCTCTGGTTCTTGGCCGCAAAGGATGCAAGCATCATCATCCTGCAATCCATGTCTTCTGCGTCGTTCCGCGGTCCATAGGTGGTGATGCAGCTCCAACCAGAAGAAGAACTTCACGCGCTGCGGTGCTTTGGTCTTCCACAATTCGTTGGCTCCCAACAACGACAATGAGCCAGCGAAGAAGGCTCGTTACGTGAACGATGCGGAGTACCTTCATCCACAGTCCAACGCCAACCAAAGCGATCCTCCTGCAACGGATGGAGATCGACGTCGCAAAGAATGCCCCACACCCAAAGGTACTGACAGAGTACTTGGGTGGTTGGCGCGTCGACAATATCCCGCGCCCAACGGTTCATAAAGATGCCATCTTTGAGGGATCCTTTCTTACCCGCTCTTGAAATAGTGTTATCGCAGAGTTCGTTTCGGTAGCATCCCGATCAACCGGGTACGGTCTGTTTCCTGTGGCGCGCTTTTTTGTGCTCACATCTTGTTATTGGCCGCGGTCATGCCGAACTTCTTCGGAGGCAGCGATTCGAGTGGAGTGGACTAACGAAGGACGACGGGAAGCCTAGCGGGGGCTACGTGCCATTCGCCCAACGAATCCGCCAGGTGTCGCCTTTTCCCGACGAATGGGCCGCCAGCCGTCGCCTTTTCTTCGTTTGTCCGAAAAAGAAGCCAAACAACATTTAATGGGCTTACTTAGTGCAGAATATCCGTAGCATGCGTCGCGAGAAAAGCTGAAATTTTAGACCAGCCGAACGCCACCGTAGTCTCGTTTCGGTGCACCGTGCACGATTCGTTTCTTCAGTTGAGCGACACGAGACGACGAAGCAGCTAACGCCTGACACGAAATGCGCGTCGCAGCTTTTATACATTTTATACAAGTATAGATTTTGCTGCGAGCTTTGATCGTTGAGGACGAATACGGGAGTGCAAAGAACGTACTGTATTTGGTGGTACTGTATGAATTTTCAGTCACGCGTCATCCCATCTTTTGGAATGAAACACTGTGACTTCTGATGTGACGACCACTATACCGTAGCCGCAGCGTCTCGGTGTTTTTGTCATGATGACCCCCTTTGATTGGGTATTCCGTAGTTGGGCACTTCCGCACTTGGGTGGGGCCGTGGGGGCGTGGGCGTGCTGCCTGCCTTTCCTGGTACGGTGCTGTTCTGGCTGCAGGCAGGTTCAGTGCTGCTGCATCGATCCCCAGTGGCACAGAAAAACAGGAAACAACCGGCCGCGGGCCGCCCACGTTTGGATTGGATGCTCTGGCCGTCGTCAGGAAAGCGGTGGAACAGTACTAGAACGTGAGTGCAACTGTGCAAGCCGTGGGCCGCCCGCCCGAATCACGGATAAGATCGTAGCCCAACAATCATCCAACGATCCGCATATATAGCAGAGACCCCGTTTTTTCAGCCTGTTCGTGTGAGGACGTATCGTATCGAGGATTATTTATTGCTGACGGATTTGATGTGAGAGAAAAACATCATTTTTAGCTGAAAATTTACGATCGTTTAAAAATTTATCTGTGATGCGTCGTGCGCTTCGGCTCTTTTTTTTGAGAATGACTTCCCAAATCAAACTAGCTGTGAGTGCTGCCTGACAAACACGCAAGTCGTCATGCACGAGCCAAATCAGAGATCAGAAGCTGAACGCCTGAATCAGAAGCGTACGGGGCCGAGCATCAGTGCATGCCGCGCTCTCCCTGCAGGAACGTTCAGCGTCTAGTCAACGCGAAAGTGCCATCCATCCCAGCGACAGCTAGCTAGCTACTCTTTTGTGCGCGTTAGGCCTGGTTTAGATTACAATTTTTTTTAACACTGAACACTGTAGCACGTTTTCGTTTGTTTTTGACAAATTTTGTTCGATCATGGACTAACTAAGTTTAAAAGATCCGTCTCGTGATTTACAACCAAATTGTATAATTAGTTATTTTTTTACCTACATTTAATGCTCCATGCATACGTCCAAAAATTAATGTGATGGAGAGAGAGTGAAAAAACTTGGAATTTAGAGGTGATCTAAACAAGGCCTTAATTTGGTGCGTGCGGGACTCTGTCGCAGTCTTGCTGACCACATTAAGTCTGTGCGCGGCGCGGTCAAATTCAGGAACCATACGGACCGATCGATCAAATCTCAAATGAATCCATGTACCTACAGGTCAACTCGGCTCAGGTTTTGATTAGATTGAGCCCCAAGGTTCAAGCCTCCAATAAACTCGTTAATGACCACGTTGTTATCATGCTTAGGGATGGTTCTCACCAAGTCTGGCCACATTTGGTATAGCTTCCCAAAGAAGGTACTTTAATCTCTAAGAAGTTGTACAAATGAATAAAAACCACGGCCAGGATAACGTAGCTCGTTTTATATAAGGATTAAATCCACTTTGACCCCTCAACTATTGTGTTAGGCTAATTTTAATCCTCAATTACAAAATCGTCTAGTACCGATACCCCAACTGTCAAAACCGTTCACTTTTAGCACCTGGACGGGGGCAATGCTGTTTTGACCGACGTTGAGCGATTTTGACCACGCCTTCCTCTCCACGCTGCACAGACTGACAAACCGACGTTGAGGCCTTTGTTCTTCCCTGCAGTTGCTCGAAACCGGGAAGTCTGTTGAGGCCTCTGGCAGATGCGCAGCGGCGGAGGAGCGGAGTGGAGTCGCGCGCGGGAAGGCAGCGCGGGGGAGCTGTGGACCAGCGCGAGGCAAGGCTGGGGCGGTGCCGTGGAGGTTCGCGCGCTCGCGAGGGCCGGGCGACGGACGGCGGAAGGCGCAGCGACGGCGGCGCTGGCAGGGGAAGACAGTGACGGTGGCGGCCGTGGCCCAGCGCCGGCCAAGCCAGCCAGGCGATGCGAGGGCGCACGACGCGGGGAGGAAGAGAAGGGGCGCCGGTGCTACGCGCGGAGGAGCAACGCAGTGGGCTTGCGCGCGCTTGCGGGGGAAAAAGAGCCGGCGCCGGCGGCATAGGAGGCAAGCAGAGAGAGAAAGAGCAAGCAATCGGCTCGACAGCGCGGTGCGACGCGAGTAAATCGGGTGATTGATTCCGCGTGGGAACGCACCACCGTCGTCTAGCGGTCAGGACGGCACTGAGGTGTCTCGTCGTCCTAGGAGCCAGAACCGACGGTCACTACGCGACAACTGCTAAGCGGCATGGATGCACGATGGGGTAGATGGATCAAAAGACGAGGAACGCGCCACGATCACCAGCGACGATGTCACAGCGGCCATGCGTATTGATGGTACTCGTCTCGGCGGGCACGGCGAGGAGACGGACGCGGTAGCGGCAACGGGACAGCCTGCCGAGAAGCGGCGTCGGTAGCACAGCCGCAGAGGCGAGTCTGACAACGAGGGCAGCGCACAGCAAGGCAGCGACGAGGCTAGGCGTGCACACAGGCGTCCACGAGTGCGTTGTGTACGTGCGTGTATTTTACCATTTTCTTTCTTTTTCTTTTACCAAAATATATAAATTATTATGTAATTACAAATATGTCATTATTTCTTTATCACTAACATCCATACACACATGCATATATTTATTTTATGTTTAAACATATATTTATCTATAGAGATACACTCAGAAATGAAGAAGTTTGTACACTACTTTAATTAATGTAGCAACATGCTTACTGAAAAGAAATACGTGAGTGTGTGTATATATATATATATATCGGTTTACTAATTTAGATAATTAGCAACATCTAAGCACAAGATAAATTTCAACAAAGCTCGAATTTAATTTAGATTCAAAAGCTATATATATATATTATATATATATATATAACGTTATATTTAATAATGTATTTTATTTTATTCTATTTTTGAGTTCTCTTCTACTCTAATCTTGCTCTAATTTATTATTAACAAGTTAATAATTACATGTTTAGCGCTAAAAGGGCTCATGATCTCTAGTTTATACTAGTCCACACGGTCTTATTAAGCCTTCTTGTTTTTGTTTTCCTTGAGGAAAACTCAAATCTCACTACTTATTTACAACAACAAAATTAGAAAGGAGTTTACAGAGTTTAACTCACCGTGTATCGAAAGCTATCACATAAACATCCAGGACTTAGCAGCTTGTTCCTGCTGCAACAGCTGTGGGCTGTGGCTACAACACCAAAGGCTTCCACTATACATAAGCTTATGGAGCTACAGGCCTGCAGCCGGAAGAAGTATGTTGCAAATAAAACAGGGAATCTGCAAGACGACTGCCCAAAAATCCAACCAAGTACCCTCTTAATGAAATACTCCGTACATGCTAAGCATTGTTAGTTCGCGAAAGAAAAAAAAAATCCAACCAAGTGCAAACATCGCAAAACTGTAATAAGCTGTTAATACACCGAACAACTACTATTACATGGCCAAACGGACAGGCGGCCTTAATTTAGCCTGCTTGTTCCCTGCAACAAATTCAAATGGTAATTAACTAGTACGTAAAATGAAGCCAGTAGCTACTGCGGTACATGTACCTCGTCTACCTCTCCAGATTTTGAGTATGCTTTGATTTGAGGAAATTAATGAGTAGTCTCAGGTCGCGCGTGTGCAGTGGATGCATGTTACACACCGACGCACGCGCACGTACAGGTCTTGCAAGTGCACTACGTCTAGTCTCCGGGCCAGTATAAAAGGGCATCCAAGATGGCCACGTCGTCACCGAAAGGATCGTGGGCACCTTCTCTCTCCGTCGTCGCCGCCACGTCGTCGTCACCGTATGGATCGTTGGCACCTCTCTCCGTCAGCTGCTGCTGTTGCATGGAGCTGCTGCCGGAGCCATCGTCATCATCCGGCGGCGACGCGGCGACTGCCGTGGACGGCCCCGCCGGGTCCTCGCCAGGGACGACGACGCCTCGCGCAGCTGCGAGCGGCCGCCGGTCAAACTGTCTCAGGGTCCCAGATTTGGTGTAGAGTCGACACAGGCTAAACTCGCCCCTCTGCTGCAACTGCAACACCATATACGTACGTACATCAAGTTAGCAAAAGAATCCCCAGATCGAGACCAGGGTGCAATAAGTATTTTTGTTTTCTCTCGGCACAATATATATAGAGTTCTTAAAAAAAATACTAGTACGTTCTTCCATGCAACATGAGCGCGCCAAGTTCCCAAAGAATCGAAGGCTATATATATACATTACTATATGATATGATGAGATCGATCGTACTTATGGGTTTCAATCGGCGTGGTTGATAGATTGGCACAAGGCGAGAACCACGCATTGAGTATTTTATTTTATTTTTAAAAAAAAAGAAAAGAGCTTTTGCAGGAGCATCCATCGAGTATCATGAAACCTAAAGCTAGCTACAAATAAACAGCAAGTGGCTTTTAGACACTTATCCGGCGCAAAAAAACGACACGCACCATCGACCAAGTTGCCCTGGCGCCTAAGCAATATACATGTGGGTGATATATGGAGATCGACATGCGTGCGCCAAAGCTTCTTGTGTGGGTCTCAATTTGGAAGCTATATAAGCTACGTGCCAATGTCCACAACGGCAGAGAAAGCAACGTCCATTAATAATTTGTGCATCATCTCACCTGCGGCTGCGGGGCAACGTTTGGTGGTGGTGGTACGGGTACAGCGGCGGCGTGGTGGTGGGCGCGACGACGACGACGAGGACCCGTCAGTTCCGACTCCAACTCCGACGGCGGCGGAGCCGGGGCCGGGGACGGGGGCTTCGTACTGGAGCGCCCTGTACTCGTTTATCTTCCACTTGGTCTTGGTCCCCGACGGCGCGCGGCCGCGGTAGAACACCATGGTCTTCTTCATCCCGATGGCGCGGCGGTCGTGATCGGCGGTGGAGTAGACGACCCCGGGCGTGCCCGCGGCCTTCCAGTACCCCGACGGCGTCGTCCGGCTGGGCCGCCCACCCCGCGCCTCCCGCTCCTGCCGCGGGCAGAAGTAGAACCACGGCTCCCCCTCCCCGGCGCCGCCGCCGCGCAGCATCTCGTGAATCCCTGCATGCATCATGGTTCATGGCGCACCCCGTGCGGTTAATTAATTAGCGCAATGCACCGCTTCGATCATATCAATTGGTGGGCTAGCTGTGCCTGTGCGTGAATGGTTAGCTAACTAGCTACGGCGTTGCACCTGGGAGCTGCCAGGGGTCGACGGAGTAGACGTCGACGACGGGGATGACGCGCTCGATGTCGTCGCGGAGGTTGTCCAGCTTGTTACGCAGGTAGAAGGATATCAGCTCCTCTTCCGTCGGGTAGAAGCGGTACCCTGGGGGCAGGCCGCCCGCCATGCCAATCGATCGGCTGTCGGCGCGCGGACCAACAAGCTAAGCCAGCAGCTAGCTATGGCCACTACTCGCGCCGCCGCCGCTCGGACCAGGGCTGCCGGCGGAGCTGAGGAGAGAGCTTGGCTGTGCAGCCGGGAGCAAAGAATGCATATGCGCTGAAAGAACCGCGTGCCTGTGGTGTGTGTATATTGCTGGTGAGGTGAGGTGATGAGGTGTGGTGAAGCAAGGTGTGGAAGCGTTCGCGCATGACGTATATATGGGGAAGCACGAGGTGGTTCATGGTTGACATGGATGATGCAGCTGCTGAGCTGCCCGCTTGTTCGGGCGAATTTTCTCATGGCGTGGTGGGACGGGCTGGTGCCCGGTGGAAAAAACAGGAGAGCGGGGGAGGGGGTGGCAGTGTGCGATTTAGTGGGGACGACTGGGTCAGCTAGTATGCAAATTGCATATATATTTTTTTCTCTTTTCCTTCTTGCACCTTTATTATCTATTTATCATCGCACTTTAGCACTATATAGGTAGAATTAAACACTTTATTTTAGTAGTAAGGTACAATTAAATAGAGCCAGAAGACAAATCTTTATCCAAGATATTTTTATACTAATATATATGATTCGATCCTTAATGAAAATGATCTTAGAGATTCATGAAACAGATTTACTTATCATATGTTGGATTTTAATTTTTTAATTCAATTAAATCAAATAAATTCTAAGGCGCATATTAAATGCAAGATGTATTAAAGTCTAAGTATGGTATGAGATTTTGACTATATGTGGCTCAACTCAAATAGGTGGCTCATGCATGAGGGTTGGCAAGCAGCACAAATTGTTCTTCAATTCTTTGTGAGAAGCTGGTCACAAGTAGAAAATTATAGCATGACCAATATCAAAGTAGAGTGACATTGGTAGCTTGTTTGAGATCAGTAATTCACTAACTTAGCATTAGCGGTGGTTGCATATTATGTTTGAAAAGTCTTATGTGTGCCAATGCATATTGGTATGATAATAGGGCTGGCCAGTGGCTGTGCATGATTATGATAAATTAGACGATGGTTTAGCGGTAAAAGAGATAACTATAGATTCACAAGAGATAATATAAAAGATGAACCAAAATTTAAATATATAAGAGAATTGGATAATTTGTGAGAGACTTGTTGGATGGTAGTTTTATCAAGGAATACAACTCACCAAGAGAACCTAAAGGGCGCCTTGATTTAGTCCCGGTAGAAAGTTGCACAACCACGGAGTAGAAGTGGGAAAAAAGGAGAGAAAAGGTAAATGATAGTTGCTACGGAGTTCATGCCGGTTGATGCAACTGAGGCAAATGGTGAGAGAAAAGTTATGGTAAAAAACAATAAACTATTTATAAAATATATTCTCAAATAAAAAAGATAGGTACCCACACTATTTGTACAAACAATCTTGCTAGTTATTAATAGGAATAAGTCAACTTTTGGCCCCTCAACTATCATGTTGGTCTAATTTTGACCCCCAACTATAAAACCGTCTGGTCCAGGAGTTTTAGCACCTCGGCACGATTAGGTGGTTTACGCTGACGTGTGCCTGGTTTTGACCCGCCACGCTGGCATTGACCGCCACGTAGGACGACCGCGCGGGTCAAAACAGGAGCCGCCCGCTCAGCTCTCTCGGCCGTCCTTGCTCTTTCTCACTCCTGGCTCCTTCCTCTCTTGAACGCACAGAGCAGGATAGCGTCGCTTGGTGCCCGATTCCAGCCACAGAGGGCTCAACGGCGGCAACTGTCCGGCCAGAGGGGTGTACAAGACCCGCGAGGACCTAGCGCCTGCCCAGGCTCCACGAGTGAGAGGTCGCGATGGTCCACCAGCGGGTGCAGGCGGTGAGTGCGGCCGCGGCCCGACGCTGGCGGCGCTCCGGTGTTTCTCCTGGATGTGGGAGGGGGTGCGGCAAGTGCGCGCGGCCATGGGGAAGGATGGAGGCGTCCTTGGTTTGTCCTGAGGTGGCTTGCACCGACGCGACTGCGTGGGTGTTGGCGGCGTCTTGCGCTGATAAGCGGCGGCAAAGACCGACACGGCAGCGCGGTGGCGGCGGCGACCGAGGCCGCAGCGATCCTCCGTGCACACACGGTGCGAGTGCGCTTCGAGACAAGGTCTGCGCAGCTAGCTAGGGCGGCGGCAACAGCGGCCCGGACACGGGCGCGGCGACATGTGCCGCCGTCGGCGGCGGGTCAGCGCTCGCGACTCACGTCGTCCACGCGGCCGCAGGCGACGGCGGCGGCGCTGCTCAAGGCCTTCAATTCGCAACAACACCTACCGCTCCCATGACGCCATCGCAGCTGCTATCGCAGCAGCCGCCCCATCCAAAAATTCGTCGGCCTAACTGCATCCTTCTTCGATTCCTCGTAGCCATGGCTCCCTCACCTCCCTAGTAACGCCCCTGAGCCAGCTGCTCGCAAGACCGACCAAGGTAATCGCTCAATTTGGCGGATTTTGCGCCGCCGACCGCCATTGCCGTGGCGCGAGCTCCGCGCGCGGCCCCGCTCTCTGCCTCACTAAGTCAACACCACTTCGCCCGTTCTAGGTCCACCCCGATGCCCTCCATCTTGGCCTCGCATAGGTTCCAGGGAGCTTTGTCGTCGTCGCTGGGAACGGGGCCCTTGCCGTCGGTTTCCATCGCCACTGGGCATGCCGCCGCGGCCAGCTCTGCTCCACCCACCTCGGACTTGATGCGGGTGGGATACACCGTGGGGAGGTGACCCCTTTGCAACTTGGCCGGTTCCGTGTTGAGCTCGGCCTTGTGCTGCCACGGCGCGGCACTTGTGCCTCCATTGTCTGTGCCTCTCTGCCGTGGTGCCTGATGCATCTATCGCCACCACCTGCAAGCTCCCTCACCTAGCCTCGGGGAAGTGCTGGGAGGAACTGAGAGGAGAGAGAGAGAGAGCTGAGCGGGTTGGCTCCTGTTTTGACCCGCGCGGCCGTCCTATGTGGCGGTCAATGCCAGCGTGGCGGTCAAAACCAGGCACACGTCAGCGTAAACCGCCTCAATCGCGCCGAGGTGCTAAAACTGAACGGTTTTGAAAGCTCAGTGCCTGGACCAGACGGTTTTGTAGTTGAGGGTCAAAATTAGACTAACATGATAGTTGAGGGGCCAAAAACTGGACTTAATCTTTATTAAAAATAACTGGTGGTTAATATCTCCTCCTAACAAAACAAAGACGAAATACGTCTGATAACTTCAAAAATGAGTATCAAGCAAATTTCCCGTAGCAACAATGTGCAAACATGAAAATTCCCACCAAAAAGTCAAACAAGCAAATCACACCACTAAGGTCATCTTCATGTTTGAAATGTAGGGATTCTCACGGTGAGCTGTAAACTGTAATAACTAGTACAGCAGATATAGCGATGACACGTATCTCACTCTCACTCCTTTGGGGATCTATTAGTTGACTCGCCGTCACCCACCACGAGATGGCAAATCCAGTTCCGTGTTGCCGCCACACATTAATGAGATCGAGCGAGTCCTTTTCAGTTTTGATTAAGAGAAACACCCGTAAAGCCTGTAACTGTAATATAAGCCGATAGATGCCACTGTGTGGGGATGCCCATATAGGAATAGTAGGATATGGCCCATGAATTGGTCTTTCTGAATTGTTTGTCTGTTTCCTGGCAGGACTCTGGTTCTATGCTCTGTGTTGCACGTTTCCCGGTTGCGTCCACAGGATGTATATGAATTATGAAAGAAGAATATCGATCGCCGAATACGAACTTCCAATTCAAATATGACCATATGAGCGAGAGGAGCTCCTCTAGTAGTCGTCACGGTACAGATAACTGATGATTAATTATGGTCAAAGGAAAACCTCAGACGTACTCGTTGTCTTCATAGAGCTATTAATTACTACCACTTTAACTGAAAAAAGCAAGCTGTATCTGACTAACTGTTGACAAACTGCACTTGAAAAGTTAACTTTTGTCCTGCAATGCAATTAGGATTTTTTTTTACTTTACGCGTGTAGACTTTTTATCTTACCGGGCCGGCCTGCCTATTATTCATTTCGAAAAGTTAACATTTGTCAGCAATACTTGTATCGTAGCTAGTACTCTAGTGTGATTTTCTATGTGACGATAGATTGACGTTCTTTGATGCACCAACATGCAAAGATGATAAAGTTTATTAAAAAAAACAATTCAGCTAGCGTGTTTCAACAAAAAAGAAAAAAAAAGATATTCTCTCCGTCCCAAATTATAAATCATTTTAGCTTTCTTGGAGAGTCAAATAATCTTAAGTTTAACCAAATTTATATAACAAAATAATGACATTTATGGTACCAACTAAATATCATTAGATACTTCATTAGTTATATTTTCATAATATACTAATTTGATGTTATAAATATTTATAACTTTCTCTATGATTTTGGTCAAACTTAAGATGTTTTGACTGGCCAAATTTTTTGAAATGACTTATAATTTGAAATGGAGGGAGTGTAACCTAGAGGCCGGCGGGGATGCGAACGAAGGCATTACTTTTTTTCTATATATAGCCAAAACTAAAACGTTACTGTATATATAGATTTCTTAAACTGGAAGAGTATAGCACACTAGCACCTATACTTTTTTTTTTCTGTGCCGTATGTCGGCGGGCGTGTGATCGAGAGCTCCTCTGCCAGGTCGCTGGTCGTCGTGTCGTCCATCAGCCGTGCCATCTTGATTAGGCTCCCTGTCACCCCGGCAAAACGCGTCCGCAGGTCTTCGACCAAAACATATTTTACGTGCTCCGTAGGTCATCTCACACAGGCTCCTGAGTTTCGAGTCCCACGCGCGCGCGTTCCTACACGAACACACCACACACTGCCTTTTTATCTCCTTTATTTTTTGCTTTCCTTGGGGCTGTTTTAACAAGTCAATCATGAGGGCGTATCCTAATAAACTACTAGTACTATACTACCAAATCACAGGCACTATGCGACTACATGCAAGAGTATCTAGCACTTTGAACTAGTCTTAGCTGTCACAGGATGAC